TGTCTCTACTGAAAAGAATCCAGCTGATTTATGCACAAGAGGGGCCACGCCTTCAGAGTTAGCCGAGTGTTCCTTGGGGTAGAATGGCCCTGACTGGCTGACAGATGATTTCAGTAGGTGGTTAAAGATAAAAGTCTAGGATAGACCGAGTGAAATGCCAGAGATGAGAAACTCGAAGAGGAAAGAAGACACGAATGCCTATGCAACCCTTATGACGTGTAACCTTCAAAAGGAATCGCACCGAAACAGAACAACACACTAGAAGAGTGGAGAATACATCCAAAACGGTTTTCCAGTTGGACACCTTTAGTTCGAGTTCATGCGAGAGTAAAAAGAGTACTACAAAACATGCGTTGCAGAGACAACAGGAATGAAAGAATGGAACTGTTTCCCGAAGAAATAAAGGATGCTGAAGCCGGGAGAAATAGTGCGTTTGACACAACACGAAGCTTTCTGTGACGAGTACACAGCTGTGAGCTCAGGGATATCGATATCAAAGTAAAGCCAGTTGATAAAGCTTAACCCGTGCATCGACGACGATGGAGTTATCCACGGTGATGGTCGATTAAAGTTCACAGGTTTTCTTCCATATGATACTAGATTTCCAATCACTCTGCTTCGTGGACGCTGTGTGACGAAACGTATTGTGAAGCATTATCATCAGAGAGGAAATCATCCCGCTGGAGTAAACTTCACACTTTGCTAGTTGAGTGAGAGATTTTATATCATCGCCGCACGCGAGGAGATTCGCGAGTGGGGTCATAAATGTAATGAACGTAAGGGAAGAAGAAACAAGCAAGCTTGTAAGATTATGTCCCTACTCCTGCGAATGAGGCTCCGTTGCAGCTTCAGAGCCTTCCCTCAAACAGCCGTAGATTTTGCAGGTCCTTTCTATACCGTTCAAGGACGCGGAAAGCTACGACAGAAAAGGTGGCTGTGCCTTTTTACTCGCTTGGAAACATGAGCAGTGCATTTAGAGATGGCCTGGGAACTGGATACCGACGCGTTCTTAAACGCCTTCGCCCGTTTTACCAGTCGTCGAGGAGTTCCTAAAGAAGTGACAAGCGACAGAGGTACAATTCTTGTGGGAGCAGTGGGGGAGTTAAAGAAACTAGTCGGCTAGTTAGACCGAAAACATCTTCAGAGCGAGACAGTCGAACTTTGAGTGAAACGGAGATTCAAATATTTCTGGGTTTTGGAAGGTGGAGAAATTCAATTTAAGTCTTTAAAATGTGAAGTGTCAAACGACACCTTCGAGTTGCTCATGATTCTACTCAGAGGACAATCTGTGTCCGCTAAACGTGAAGATCGCTCACTCTCGGCATACTATAGAGATCACTGTGGATTAAAACCATCATCTGAGAAAATAAAAAACAAAGGCGGTAAGCGTCTCTTAGAGAAAGAGGAAGAAGAAGTGGAAAGGGAAGATTCAAACCTCCACCAGTGGTATAATTAACAATTATTCTCTGAAATCGAGGGGAATACTGGCGGAATATTTACCAAAAGCCACTATTCATCGAGATTGAAAAGAATAATTGTTTTAGTATATACGCACGAAGTGATCTCGACATTAATTAAAAGGAAGCCATTTAAAGGCAGTTTCTGCTTCTGAAACTTTAGCGAAACGGGAGTTTACGCCCGTCATTTTGTTTTTCCCGTTATCCACTCGCTCGGTGGTGTATATCGTGGAATAGCCCGAGATAGCGAACCAATCAGATTGCTTGAAACGCCAAGATCACTGAGTGTGTAGATACTAATAATACTTTCGCCGCTGTTGCTGATCTTGTTCAACGTCAAGACGTCATCATTATCCCGCGAAGTAACACTTTTTGGTGCCATTTTGCACATTACGTGATAACAACGACAAATTTCTGTCTAAGTCCTTCACTTACAGCTCTAAGGATGATCCCGGACAGTCCTACAGACTATAATCATGCAACCGGGGCGTTGATCGTGAGCAATCCCTCTGTCCCTCCACAAACGATGTTGCCATCATTGCCAGGAGCCCGAAGAGAGGCAAAGGAAATTGCAGAGTTGTTGGGTGTGTCAGCTACTGTGGGAGTCGAAGCAACCAAAAAACAAGTCCTTCGACTGATTTGGGATGTCAGTTTGATCCATATCGCTGCCCACGGTGATGCAGAAAGAGGAGATCGCTCTTGCCTAAAATTGTCCCCCCAGACTACCTCTAAAGGAAGACTTCATGCTTACAATGGAAGACGTCCAGTCGCAAAAGTTGGTACTGGAGCGGAGCTGGTTGTACTCAGCTGCTGTCACAGTGGTAAGGGACAGATTATGAAATCTGAAGGAATTGTGCCTTTTTGGCGGCGGGAGCTCGCTCAGTACTGGTTCCCTGTGGGTCGTGGATGATTAAGCCACCAAAGAGTTCATGATTCGTTTCTACGGACATCTGAAGCGGGATAAACTGAGTGCCAGTGAAGCTCTTCACCAGACCATAAAGTGGAGCTATCCTAAGGCCGCTACCTCGTGGGAATTTCATGGGCAAGAGAGGTTTGATGAAGATGAGTTGCATGGACGTTTGAAATGACAACATTTTATTTTTATTTAACCCAAGGTGATTCGAAATATATTTGTTATGGGCATTCAGACATCGCATCAAGTCAAAAATTGCATTAGAAATCATTGTACTGCGACTTCGATCTTTCCTTTTTTAGTTTCAACAAAATTGGCTCAAGCTTGGCCCAAGTTTTTTACAGAGGAAAACTGGTTGATCTGTGCCGGCGTGACGTTATCTACCCGTTTGTGTTACACTGCCAACTCTCCTGGTGCGTCACGTGCGGCCTGGTGATTAAGATTG